TAAAATATTTTCGTTTTTCAGAAACTGGAAAAAATATTTTCGTTTTTGAAAAATATTTTTTTTTCATTTTTTTCAGTTTTTGGAAAAATCGAAAATATTTTTTCTTTAAAAAGAACTGAAAAATGAAAATAAAAAGAAATGCTTTAAAAAACTGAAAAAACTGGAAAAAAAAATTCAAAAACGAAAATATTTTATTAAAAATATTTTTTTCAGCTTTTACAAAAAAAAAAATGCTTTAAAAAAACTGAAAAGAAAAAAAATTGTAAAAACTGAATTGTTTTTTGTAAAAACAGAAAAAAAAATAAGAAGACTTTACTAAATTAGTTGATTATTGGTGCATTAGTTTAAAAAATCGAAAATATTTTGCAAAATATTTTCTTTTTAAGCTTTACAGAAAGAATAATAATTATTTTTAATTTAGCATTGACCTAACGGTCAAAGGGCATAAGTGAACCAAAAAAGTGGATGGAGGGGTATTTTTAACCCGATAGGTGGATGAAGGATATCTTTAAACCTTTTCCAATAGTTTAGGGGCATTTTGAACCCTTTTCGGTTGTGCATATGTTAATCAACTACAAGAAACCTTCATATCTTGTGTTCTTAATCTTAACCTCTCAGAACACCACAAATATTAATATCCAATATAAGAATTACTTCAAGATGTAAAATAAAAGTTGAACAAATACTAACCTTGGTACCAAATTGTCCAACTGGATGATCCATCTCCAAAATATCTCTCCCCTAAATTCAAAATCCAATCGGTCAGAACATCATTTCGTAAATTAGTAAATATCAATACTCGATAAAAAGAAAAATCACTTCAATCAAAATAATAGAAGTGTTCAATTCTACATACTGATTCCAATTATAGATTTGAGGTTTGGATTCTTTTAGCTCGCTTGATCAGTATTTTCAATTAAACCACCACTTCCATCATCAAAACGGATCTTCATTTACTGTACATAAAACTCACGTTTAATGAAAACTGACTTATCAGCTTATAAAGCTGAAAATTTCTTAATCAAAAGATTATAATAATCAGTTACCTAATCAAATTATTTTCAGAATGCAAACCAAATAGGCCCTATATACCTGACGCTCAGCCTGAAGTTCTTCACGCTCATGCCCAGTGGCAATTGGCATTAAGGGTGTGTTTGGTATGAAAATATTTTTCAATTTTTTCATGTTTGGTTGATTTAAATGTTTCTTTTCATGATGTAAAAAAAGTATTTTCTTTCAATTTAACAAAATAATGTAGTAAAAAGTATCTTCTTTCATTTCAACAAAAAAGTACTTTCTTTTCATGATATTGAAAAAGTATTTCTTTCAATTCAAAAAAATGATGTAGTAAAAAATATTTTTCATTTGAACAAAAAAAGTACTTTATGTTCATGATGTAGAAAAAGCATTTCTTTTATTTCAACAAAATGATGTAGTAAAAAGTATCGTCTTTCGTTTAAACAAAAAACATTTTTTTTTTTATGATATAGAAAACGTATTTTCTTTCATTTCAACAAAATGATGTAGCAAAAAGTATTTTCTTTCATTTCAAAAAAGGAGTATTTTCTTTTCATGATGTAAAAATGTATTTTCTTTTATACTTTCTTTTATGAAGTAGAAAAATATTTTCTTTCATTCCAACAAAATAATGTAGTAAAAAGTATTTTTTTTATTTCAACAAAATGAGTATTTTCTTTCATTTGAACAAAATGAATACTTTTTTTCATGTTGTAGAAAGAGTACTTCCTTTTTCAACAAAAAAAGAATATTTTCTTTTTAGTCATGTAACACAAACTTCAACGTTATTTTTGATAGAAAAGTAAAGCAGTACATTAATCCCTTTTGGGTTTGTGTGAATATCTAAAGAATAATTAAATTCTTGAAGAAAATAGAGTCCTGAAAACGTTGGGTATTTAAGGTTGGAGGAGGGAGGGGGGAGCGGGAGCACAGAAAACATGGGGATTTGGGGAACGAGTAAAGAAAGTAGCATTAAAAAATTATTTTTCTAAAAGATATTTTCTACTCTCTAAGCAAACACTAGAAAATATTTTTTGAAAAAAGTTTTTCAATGAGAAATAAGTAATAAAATACTCATTTTCCCAGAAAACATTTTCTAGAAAAATATTTTCCTCCATGCCAAACACACCCTAAGTCTTCAACTCTCTTGTTCTTTGATAGGAACTCTATGCACATTTCAAGGGTCAATTCAGTTTCAATTCAAAATAATAATAAATGTAAAGATAAAAGGGATAAAGGGGATTACCGGAGTGGGAGAAGAGGGTAGTGGTTTGCTGAAACGACGTTGCAGTGGAGGGAGAAGGAGAAGAATTGAGGGATCGGGCCCCATTTGTGGAGTCTTTGCACATACTGGAGCTGCTGCGGCGAAACCACTCTCCTCCCCATTGTTCTTTCGCCGCCCGCCGGTAGACTGACTCAATGCTGCTGCTGTGTGTATGTGTGTGAGAGAGAGAGACTATTTGTAGCTTTTTTTTTTTTTGAGTGGATTATTTTATTTTAAAATGTTAGTTTTGGCCGAATGCAATTAGAAATTGCTTAAGAGGGTATTTGGCTAAGCTTATAAGCCAGTTAAATTTGCTTATATGTACTTTTTGGCTTATTTACGTGTTTGGTAAATTAAAAGTGCTTATAAGTTAAGTACTTATAAGCCAAAAGTCATAAGTTGGTCTCCCCCAACTTATCAAATTTCAGTTTATAAGCACTTTAGGTTTGACCATGTTTACTATTCTATCTCTAAAATGCTTTTTTTTAAAACAAAATTCTTCATATACCCAGTTCTTCAACTGCTTATTATTAATTTCAGTACTTTTATCCAAACACGTAACTGCTTATTTTTTAAATCAGCTTCAGCACCTAATGTTTATCAGCTACTCTAAATCAGCTAAGCCAAACGGACTCTTATTTTGCCATCGATTAAGTTTTTGATTTTTCGTACATTTATTACCGTTAGTAAATTAGTTTATATTTGCCTACTCCACATATTTAAATTCTTTTACAAAATTCACCTTCAAGTACTTTTAACTTTGGTTTAAAATTACCTTCGAGTTTGAGCTTCATTAGTTTTGAAGAATAAAGTTGCTCAATTTTGGAGTCAAAGTTTTGACCATTTTCTCCTTTTTCAATTAATAGCTCCAATGGAAATAATTACATGGAGGAGAAAAATATGCAACCTTACCTCCTTACGTTTAAAATTAACACAGCTTTTACTATTTTATATATATACAACAGTGTTTTTTGTGCTATTTGTACGTCATTGAGGGTGTTTGAATGGCTTATAAAAAGTACTAGCTTTTAAGCTAAAACCCATAAGTCATAAGTTGGTAATATCCAACTTGGCTTTTGGCTTATTTTTGTACTTTTATGCCTAAAAGTAAGTGCCTTTAAGCATTTTTAATCATTGTCAAACACCACACAAACTAAAGAAGTGCTTAAAAGCCAATAAGCACTTAAAATAAGCCAATCCAAACCCCTCATTGTCATGACCCAAGTTTTCCCTCTGTGAACTATCGTAACGACACTTAGTCTCTACGACTAGGTAAGCCTAATATTGCTGAAATGAAATGAAAATACAAGGATAACAGCTAAGAAATATAGTTAATAAGCATAAACAATGTCGCTCGGCATATACAATACTCACTCTTCCCAAAACCCAGAATGTCGCATGTCACAAGCTATTAAGAAATTTTAACTGTTCTATACACCATCTCTACGGAAAGAAAGAGAAATGAACATAAGGGGATAGAGGGGGACTCCAAGGATCTGCGGGCGCGGGCATATTGTCACGACCCAATTCCCATACCCGGTCGTGATGTCGCCTCTCGTGAAGACAAGGCCAGCCAACTAACCCAAATCCTTTCACTAACAATTATTAAACATAAATGAATAGAAGATACAACTTAATGGCATTAGAAACTGTTAATTACTACCCGACCGGGGTGTCACAAGTCACGAACATCTAAGGAAAACCTTAACACAACTACAGGCCAATAAATATATATACAAGTAAAATTTCTGGAAAACAAAAGACAACATCCGGTGCCGCGAACGCTGGCGGTCACTTTGCTCAGCTACAATAACAATACCTTCAATCCGCTAATAACCCGCTACCGGGTGAACGATACCTGCAACTGCACGCGAGGTGCAGGGAGTAAAGTGAGTACTTCCAACTCAGTGAGCAATAAAAATGAATAACGACTGAGAGTATTAAATTCCACACAGGCACAGATAATGCTATCTCAAACAGTAAAATCATGTGAAACAGTAGGAACCAGTGAAACATAGCAAGAAATTCTCTTTGAAAACAATTAATAAAACAAGTATGCTCAAGTATGGTCAGTCATTGTTACCTGACCGGTCAGCCATTGTTACCTGACCCAACGCGTGTTTTAGTGCCATTGTTATCACTGGTCAGCCATTGTTACCTGACTGGTCAGCCATTGTTACCTGACCCAACGCGTGTTTCAGTGCCATTGTTACCACTGGTCAGCCATTGTTACCTGACTGGTCAGTCATTGTTACCTGACCAAAACACGTATGACGGAGTGTCATTGTTACCACTGTCCAATTCTAAATGGGTACCCGCGCTCACTGTGGGTGTGCAGACTCCGGAGGGGCTCCTACAGCCCAAGCGCTATCAACAAGGCCTGAAAGCCCGAACAGTATCAATACGAGGCCTGAAAGCCTCCTCACCTCACTCATCATGCCCTCACATAAGGCCCTCGGCCTCAATCAGTACAGAAATAGTCAACAGCCCCTCGGGTAACAGTAAAGCAATAATACTCAGCTCAAACAATAGTTCAAATATTAGTTTAAAACTCCAATTTGAGTAAATATGGCTGAGTTCAAGAAACAGTGTAAATCACATGGACTGAGTTCAAATAATATTTCAAACAGTGAGGAAAACAGTGATGATAGTTTATAAAGAGTTCAAACAGTCGACAATAAGCTCCAAATATGGCAATAAGCCCAAATCATAGTGAAAACAACAAGTCATTGCTAATACGCGGTAAAATATCATCCGGACTGGACCAAATAACAGTCCCCAATAGTAAATGGCCCCGCGCTCATCATGGAACGCGTGTCTCATCTCAACATAGCACTAAGTTGTGCAAATCCGGGGTTTCAAACCCTCAGGACGTCATTCAAAATCATTACTCACCTCGAAACGGTGAAATCTCTATCTCGCGACGCCTTTGCCCCTCAAACCGACCTCCACGTGCGTCGAATCTACCCAAAACCACAAGGAATACGTCACAATAGGCTAATGGATCATAACCCAATCGAAAAGACTCGGAAAATATCAAAAATCACGAAGTTGGTAAAACCCGAGTCCCGGGACCACTTCTCGAAAAATTACGAAATTCACATCACCGGATTCCTCGTCTCGCCAGAGTCCGTACATATCAAATTTACCAAAATCGGAGTTCAAATGACCCCTCAAATCTCCATTTTAACTCTCTTAAGTTTCAAGCCATAAACCACCATTTTTGCCCATAAATTACTTGAGTTTTCAGCTCTAATCCATGTATTAGCATCATAAAATTGAGTTTTAAGTTCAAGAAACTTACCTCAAGTCGTTCCCCTTGAATCCCTCTTTAATCTCCACCAAGAAGCTCTCAAAATCATCAACCATGGAGGAAAAATGACCCAAAATCGCGGATATAAACTCACTGCCCAGAATTTTTCGGAATTACTGTTCACACGTGCGGTACTGTTCACGCGCGCGGTACTATTCACGCGCTTAAAAAAAAACCAGCAACTGCCCAATAAATTGCAGCAGTTTTTGTTTCACTAAAATGGCTCTAACTCCGTCATACGAACTCGGAATTACACGATTCTTGTTCCTATGAGTCACAAATAATAATACGAACACAACCCTTCAATCGAAACTCAATTCGGAGGTCATTTGCCCAGTTCAATACCCATTTCGCTCGTTAAACAATTAACTCATATTTCGCGTCAAAAACCCAATCGCGACTTGCTGAAATTAGACCAAAATTTCCAGATCAGTCCTATAATTCATTATCAAAATTCCGGAAGTCTCGAAATCAAATTTGCATCTCTAGAACTAAAAATGAACCTTTAGATCATTACATGCTTATGCTCAAAACGGCATAAATCTTCCAAAAACTCTTCCAAAACTTATTCGAGCCTCAATGGACCCGACCAAACATGCCAACATAGTTCATAACATTATTCAAACCTGTTCCAATCATCAAAGCACCTCAAACAACATCAAATTACCCAAAACTCATCGAATTCAAGCCT